GAGAGCAAAACCGGCAGACAGAAACACTGCTCCTGGCATGCGAGTACTTCCACACCGATTCAACACTTAAAAATGCACTGAAGTGAGGATGCCCTTTCTTCAAACCCTCCACCAATTCACTTTCACTCTTGGCAACCTGCTGCCTCCTCACTCTCCAGCTCCTTCACCCTGACAGCACCAGAACCCTCCTACAGCAGTGTCTCAGCCCTCCACTGCCAGACCCCACCAGCCTCTGTGCTGCCTCCCCTTGTTCCCTCCTCTGCTTCGCTTCCTGCTTAAAGTCCTGAGGAGGAGGAACTGAAATCTTTGCAATGACCATCCTGCACCATATCCCACCAGGGGCCTGACAACCCTACCAAAACCAGGGATGAATGCTTGCTGAAGTCCATGGGGAAGCCTGCACCCGGGAGGGAGACGGAGGGGGGCCTCACGCTGCAAACCTGCCCCTCATCCCTGCCTCTCCCGGGACAGGAGCCCATGCAGGTCTGCGAGCTGGCCAGATCAGGGTAGCTTTCCTCCAGTCAGACTCTCTGGAAGGATTATTTGGCTGCAACATATCATATGACTTTGTTCTTAGAGTTACATTTTAACTGAGAAAGTTTAACAAGTATGACTTATGGGCTTCTAAAATTGGCAGCAGAAAAATGAGCTGAGGAAGTCATGGAAAAAAACCACAAGCGAGGCCATTCCATGTTATGCACAATTTCTGGGCTCTTTTTCCAATCTTCTGGTTTTCTGGATGGTGGAAAATATTTTCCAGCTACACAGGCCTGGCCTCACTGAGTACATATTTATGCCAAGTTTATAAAAAGCAGCTGCAGACAGGGTTGAATGAAAGGATTACACTGCTGTCTGTCTTCCAGAAGGTGCTTCAGTTCACACCCTGTCCCACAGAACGAGGCTCATTCCTCAAATATCCATGAATTTATGTGAAGAGGGGCAAAATTTGAATGGCACAATATAAACGTGAACGTGCACGTGAAGGGGTATGCATCCGTGTACATCTAGCTAGCTGGCTAGCTAACAGCAGCTCCTAGCCACTGCTAATGCTGGCTTTTAGCACTTGAAGTTTACCACCATTCCTCCAACCTCTTCCCACCCTACAACCTGGTCCATCTTCCATTAATACAGCACATATTCTCATGCTGCCAGGCTTTCAGGCAAGGAGGGACTGCTGTAAGCATGCATCCTGACCTCCTCTGCAGCACAGTGCCACTGAATTTCAACCAACAACCTGGGCAGCAGAGGCATAACCTTAATTTTCAGCCATGTCTTGCCATAGCCTTGGCCTGATACAAGAGTCACAAGAGGAGAGTCATTTAGGAGTTCACTCTCCTAAGTAGAATAGCTACAGGGAATGCAGGGAGAACACAAACTGAAAGTAAATGGATATAAAAAGGTAAGGTAGGTGGTAAGCTGCAGATCATACACTACAGATCTGTTCCCTGCTGTTTTTGCAGTTGAGTACCTTAGAATAACAGTACTGAGAACGACAGTGTTACATCAGGAATATCGGTCAAGACAATACTTCCTGGCAATTGTTTGAGAAATGCTTTTCTCACAGCTAATTGCTCCCAAGAGATTGTGTTTTCTCTGTTTTTAGAAGGAGAATGACTAAGAAAGAGGGTTTTTAAACCTCTGCACTGTACTGTGGGACAAAGAGCTAGGGGGGGAAAGGAAAAAAGAAAGAAAAGGAAAAGGCACAACAGCTGTAATGTTCTATGAAATGATTTTGTTCTGTTCTCTTGCCGGGGTGGTGGGTGCAATCATCACTTTGGCAGAGATAAATACAGAAAAAAGCAAGAAAATGTACAGGAAAGAGAGGAGTCCTGGCTGCAGGAGTACCACATTGCCATCTAGTGGCACCGGCTTGGGAAGCCGAGCACATGCAGCTCTGCAGGCCCTCCATGCCTCCCCTCGCCCGGGACTGCCTCTGGGCAGCAGGTGTGATACCTGAACATGGGACCCAGCCTCCTTTCAGCGCTTCAGAACCGAGCCTGACAACTGTCTATAAAAGGCAGGTATAGGAATGCAAGGGGAAAAATCCAGCAAAGGATGTTTAAGACAAATTTGGCTGTGCTGGGCAAAGCTGATGTTTACACTGGGGCCTGCAGGTTTTCATCTTTCACTGCTGCTACACACAAAGCCACCACAGCCTTGGCATGTTCTGCAGTTGTTATATGGACATCTATGGCAAAATGAGAGACTGGCAAGAACAGCAAGGGGTACCTTGCCCCAAGGAGACAGGCCTCATTCTAGACACTGATGTCACGTTCCCAATCCTGTGGGACCAAATGCATCAGTACCTGCATGCCCAGCTGCTATCTGCAGTGCCATCCCTGAAAATTTTCACTCTGCTATGTGCCTCAGCACTGAAACATTCCCTTTGTATTCCAGAAAGAATACAAATGTTAACCTTTCAACACTGAAAAAGAGAAAGGCCAAAATGCTAAGCCCCACAGATAGCAAAAGGCAGGCACTCCATCTCTGGAAGACACTCAGCAAAGGGCAGTGAATTAATTGTTTTATATGACCTTCACACAGGGAGTTAAAAAGAAGAAAAGAGCTTTGGTGTATATGAATTCTGATGTTCATTGAAAAATGTTAAAGGGGAAGGTCCTGACCGCAGGAGACATCTATTTAGCGCAGCAACAAAAAACAGAACTTTGCCAGAAGAGAACCATCATTTTGGGAAGCAGTGGAAGAAGTCTTGCATCAGGCATCCAAGACTGCCCACAAAACTCGGCCTCGTGGCAAAGTACTTTCTGTTCTTCCACTTCCCACTGGAAATAAATGACCACCTCACAGCTTATGAGCAATGAAAGGTGACCAGCAAAAGACTGCATTTGGCCCTGGTGTGAAGGACAGTATGTCTAGCTCATCATTAGTTCTGTGTCTTTGGTCTCTGAGTACTGTGAAGCTTCACAGAAGCACAACTGTACTGCATGTGTCCTAAACAGCCATGTCAACACGGATGATATTCTTTGATATTAGAAAATATAATGTGGTCTTCCAAGAAGAAAGGAACTCACAGTTAAGTTGTGCAAAATGAAGGTAACCTATACTGCTCCAGTGAATCAGTCTTACAGCAGCATTTCTTCAAAAGCCCAGAGTGATGACCTCTGCAAATACTTTGGTGAAGATTATGATGACCTACACATACTCTGAATTTACAAAATCCATGCTGCATCAATCAACAAAACACTTGTGTTGTCAACCCAAGACCAAGCACACAACACCTGCAACATTACCAGGAGTTGGGGAGGCGGAATTTGAACAGTAAGATTAGAAAAAAAGGAAAGGCCATGAAGGATCCCATCTCACAGCGCCATTGCTGGTTCTGCCAGACTGCGATATGCTTAAGTTTTTCTTTAAAATGAGAGTGTGATTCCTGTTTCTGCTGAAAATGTGCTGCCCGAGGCAGGAGACATCCACCTGTGAAAAGATCTACAGTCTAACCAGAAATGTTATCAGGCCTGATGAAAAATGTTGAGGGCAACTCAGCAAACACTTTCTCCCAGCAAAAACTCCCAAACTGGGTAGAGTCTCACACCACCATCCTGAAAACTGAGTGATTGAAGAGATTTTCAGATCAAATCAAATGTCACCTCAACAAAAGTTGCAGCTACGTCACAAGTTACCATGTATTGGAGGGTCCCAGGTGAAATTTCCACCCATTTGGAGCGGTTTTTCAAAACAGTAAGACTGGAAATTGTCTTCCAGCTTTAAACTTCACTCATGCTATAAAAATATCACCATGCAAGGCCAGGCTGGATGTGGTTCTGGGCAAGCTGATCTACTTGAAGATGTCCCTGCTCACTGCAGGGAGATTGGACCAGACGACCTTTGGAGGTTCCCTTCCAACCCCAACTATTCTATGATTCTATGAAGGGCGAGATTCTACATAAGAGCCAATCGTTTTCCCTGCTTCACATTTATGACAAGAAGTACTGAGAGTGCACTGCTCCAGTATCAATACCTTCCATCCCAGGATCTCTGTGCCCTTTAGAAAACAGATTTAACTTATCAGCACTTCCTTCCATGGTTGCCCAGAGAAGCCAAGCTGCCCCCATGGTTAGCTCAAGCTCCCACTAAGAGCCAGTCTGTTGTTCCTTGAGGGTGGCAGGATACACCGGTCTGATCATTCAACCTTCTGGGTATACGGCTACCAGAAAGGCAGCTCCTTCAGGTATATTGTCCTCTCCTTTGCACGCACTGGCTCCAGTACAGAAAAAGGAGGCTAGAGCCACCCTGTTCACAGGTAACATCTACTCTAACCACAAGGACTTGTGTCAGAAGCAAGCTTTAGAAGACTGTATTGTTTTTAAGGATGGGTCAATCATCCAAAACTGGGCTACAACTTTCTCCCAGTGAAGTACCTCTCCAGTTTTCAACCATTTGATCAGGTTGTCATGTATTCACCAACATCTAGGTGAACGCTGACTCTGCATTGCTACACTGTCTGCCTTCTTTATGCCTGCTTAATATCTATGTCCCAGTTTTCCTACTTGTGCGATGGCGTCACAAAATTTCAGGCACTAAGGTATAGGCTGATTACTAAGTTTTGACAGAACAGTCAGAGTTCCTTCTAAAGTTGCTATCAAACAGCAAGCCAGATTCCTGAAAGATTGCCTCTTACATTTACAATGCAGAAGCCACTTATGAGCAGCAAGACTGCCAGCAGAATCATTAACCCAGTGCTCAACAGTTCATGTTATTTGATTCCAGCTTGGGGGGTGCTGTGCTTCAAATATTTTCTATTATAGAGAATGTCTTTAATACTTTTTTTATCTCTTGGTAGGTTTCATGATACATAAGCAGGTCTATGGTTGGTGGAGGTCTGATTTTTCCTGATGGCAGCACTAACTAGCACTGATTAGACAGTCTAAAAAATAGCATGATGTAGAAAAGGAGCAAGCTTCAGAGCTTCATACATAATTCAGATAAACAAAACACCCACCCAGTAACTACCAAAACAATCATACTATCCTAAACCTTACCTTCTCCCTTCCTGTGTCCCAATGTCCTGCTCTTGACTGCTTAGGTTTCCATGAGGAAAGGACCATGCAGGGTAAATTACAGGATCAGGACCGCAGGCTGTGAGCTTGCAGAAGCAGAGGCTTCATCTGGACAGATTCTTCAGAGTGCCACACACATCTCTGCTGACACAGAAGTAATAATTTCATGCTAAGAATTCTGCCAGTGCAAATGGCCAGTAGATAACATCCCTACAGAGAAGTAATAAAGGACCCTTAGTTCTGTCAGGCAACTTCTAACATAAGCCAAGGGGCCTGATGTTAAAGCTAAAAACTTTAGATGGAGACATAAAAACAAATTAAATGTAAATCAAACAACAACCCCCTCATGGTTATGCAAATTCAGCTGAATGTCATTATAGCAAACACCCAAACTAGAAGAACTCAGTAAACATGGAGGCTGCAACCTGGGGTCAGATGGGGCTTCTCCCATTCTATATATAAATATAGTCAAAAACTTCCACCTCCTTAATTCTAGGAACTGTCAATCTTCACTGCAGTAACTTAGAGGATCAAGATGTTACATTATACCAGGTCAATGTGCAGTAAAAGCAAATTTCCATCAAAACCAGACTGTTCCCATCAATAATGAGATACTGCTGTGAATTGATTGGGCATGTACTATCAATTAAAAACACCAGAGTTTCTCAAAGAACATGCTTGCTCAAGAATCCCTTTTCTCCATTTCTCCATTTAATTAGTCATTGCATTATAATTAACAAATTCATGCAATCATTGTCATTTTAATCATCAAAGCTGAATGTACATTCCTTCTAATTAAATAATATTAAATACAACAAAAGATGCTAACCAGGTTGTTTCAGAGCTCCAGGAAATACTCTTTTACATACATGCCAAAACAGGCAAAGACTGGTTTGTTACAGCAGATTTCTGTATCTTCCAGGCTATCTTACAATTAACATATCCAGACTGACCTACGAAAGGAGAAGCACAGTTTGCAGAGACAATATATTTTAATTAACATCTCTCTCTCTAGATTCTTGCCATGCTTTAAGCAGACCTTGAAGAATTCCTTACTAACAAGTTGAATGTTTGAAAAAATGCTGAATGACAGCTACAAGGGCTGAAAACTTCCATTTACTTGTGTGGCACAAACATACACTGCAAACACACCCCAGGAAGCAAAGAAAAACCACTTCTGAGGTGCAGGAGCAGTTAAGGTTTAGTTTCAGTACAAACAGCTGCCTCAAGCCGTGACAGAGACCCCAGCAGCAAACTTCATGACAGCTACAGGAGTGCAACAGGGCGAGTAGGTTTTGCCACCTTCAGCTGAAATTCAATCAGCAGCAAAACTGCACCCTGCCACCAACCTGTAACATCCTAATGTGTTCCCCCTTTTCTTTTGTTTTGGTTAGGCCTCCTCACAAGGGCCATCACAGCCAGAACCCAACTCCAGGCAGAGTCTCTTCCACCCTTACTGCAGTGAATAGGTGTTCTCCTTTACTTCAGCTAGCAAAGCTCATCCAGGAAAATCACAGCTAGGCAAGGGAAAACTCTTCTGTTGCATGCCTGGGAATGAGATTTAGTTGCATCTTGCTGCAGAGTTCAGCTTGTACAATGCTTATATATCTACCTGGTTTGTGTTGAGGGATGGAGAGAAAGAAAAGGGAAGTCCTTCCAATCATGTCCTCGCTACAAACCAAACAGAATTTTAGAAGCCAAAATTAGGTACCAGTAAAAACATGTGCCACTGCTGCCCCACCGATCCTGTCTTATACACTGTACCAGATTTGTCTGGACGAAATGCTGCATTGCATCACCTCACCAGACAGGAAGATTCTAAAAATCAGGATTTTGCAGGATGAGCTTGCACAGAAGGTGTGTGCACAACTGCCCTCTGCTGTTTAGATTACGACCTGCTCAAATAAATGGTAGCGTGGCCAAATCAGTTTTCAGTTGCAAGGGTCCAAGTTGTGAAGAGGCAGAACTATCTGACTTCAGCTGTTATCGGCCTCCATGCACACCTATCAATTTCATACACAAAAGCCATTCAAAACTGTCTTGCAGCATGGACCACCCAAGCAAACTTGCAGGCTGTAGCAACACTGTGCTAGCTGCAACAACGCTCCGTTCAGCAACTATCACACAGGGGTGAGCAGCAGCAGCAATCTTCTCACCCCAAAGACAAGTCAAGAACATCCTCAGGGTGTAAGGGAAACGATAGTAATTGTGAGCAAGGGCTGCAGGGAGACACACATCTGTCAACCCATTAAATCAAGGCCTGACTTTTCACAAAACAGGAACCGGGACTTCATGCCTGGAGGCAAAAGCTTATAGCACAGAGCCTTTAGGAGTTCACGATTACTAGGTTATAACAGCAACTGGAAAGCAGGCTAGTGACCTTACTAAAAAACGTTCAGTAAATATTCTGCAAAACTAGCACTTGTAAGCCTGTACTGCAGGGAAAGAAGTGAGAACCTGGAGTTTCTTTCAAGAACATGTGGAAACCACTGTACTTTGAAAAAGCTGCCCATTATCTAGTGCCAGGATGCTGGTCAGTTAGGCACAGAAACAGCGCAGACAGGCCAGCTGTTTTCTATGGCTTCGCTCACACATTCATACATGGGACATGGCAAATTCTGCCCTCCGAGAACACCATCAGACATCCACATCTTCTTCTTTGAAAAGCTCCGTTTTAGTACAAATGCAGAAAATAAGCCCTGTTAACCAGAAGCTGTTTCTAGAGTGCCTCTGATGAAAGCTAGCCCACTACTTGTGAATTAACCACAAGTTTCAGCTCTTTGCAACAGGCCTTTGGTCACTGTACAAAGACAACCATAAACTATACTGGTCAGTGTAAGCACACACTAAAAACCAAACCAGGACTTGGGTACAACACAAGCCCTGAAGAAAAACTGATTTTCCACATCAGCCCTTTTCATATCCATATGTTTAAAAAGGCAGAAGCATGGGTGTACAGTACAACATGCCTTTGAAACACTCACTAAAAGCACTTAGTGACCACTTCAAAGACTCCCTTGAAGTTTAACTCATGTTAATTTTAACACAACGGTCATGTAGGGCCACTGTTCAGCCTAAGGGACTTTAAACACACCGTCAACAGATGTACAAACGAAACTTAAGAAAGATTCTTCTGGGTGCATGAATAGCTGGAACTTTGCTTTGATGATGGCTGGCTGGCCTCCTACACAGCAGGGCTGGGACTTCTCCATTTTTCAAGTTAAGGGCAACAATAACAATCCACCATCCCGCAGGGTAAGGAAATTAGTACCAGATGATTCAGTGTGATCAGTGGTTTTGGATTCGATTCCATTATCGACAAAACTTAATGGTGAGACATCAAAGGTAGTCCTGCATGATCATGAAACTAGCTGAGGTTTTCCTCTAAAAGCTGTCCAAGTAACTGATGCTAGGAGACTTCCCAACATAAAACTAACAGACCTCTGATTTACCGTATGAGAAGCCCTCTTAGTGCTGGAATCAAGTGCCTTGCCCTCAGAACACCACATAAGGGAAGATCACACTTTCTGGGAAAAAGATTAGTAGTTTTACCTGCAGTAAGCTAAGATTACAGAGCTCAGCAGCAGCAAACCCACAACCAGAACGGCTCACTTCTGCCTTTTTTAATTTGCACAGGTGAAAACACAGCACTACGCACAGCTAACACAATGGCACTACTGCGACTGATGCAATACATCCATCATTACCGCTGCACTTCCGATGACCTGCACTTTGCTGATGCCTGAAACCAGTTCTAAATTACAGCCTCCTCCATCCATGGGCTGCGCATGCTAGCTACACACCAGCGTCAGCCTGCCACTGTTGGAGCAACAGCCAATTCTCATTCCAGACAATAACCTCAGGTCTTCAGTTTGTAGGTTACTAGCTTCATCAGCAGATTTGGGGAGAAAAAAAGAAACTACCTTAAGCCTTGTTAAAAGGATTCAAAAGGATTCAACATTCCCACCCTATTAGCCAAGGCACTGAACACAGGTACCAGAGCTCGCTTTAGCATACAAAGCAGGTACTTCTGAGTAATAAAAGAACAAACTTATACTTAAGACTACATTTAAACTATGCTATCTAAAATTTTGTCTGCATCTAACTTTTCAGGATCAAGAAAACCAAAAGGGGTTAAAGCAATGTGTATCTATGATGTTTGTTAAAGCAATGATCATCTGTACACATAAACAGACTACCACCAAGTCTTCCACCAGAATCAGAATTGGCACCCGGCTTTGCTAAAACATGATTTTGTTCAGGAGAGCTTTCTGTAAACTAAACTGACTTCAAGTTGTCAACATTATACCAAAGAGCATAGAAAACTGTTCAGGTTTGAAGGAAGGGTGCCACCTGCCTTATGCTGTTTGGGTTTGTTTTTTGAGGCAGAGTGGAAGACTTGGATTTACTTTAAGAAACATTAAAAGCTGAACCAAAAAGATACTATACAGAAGCAACCACCACCAGCAAGGGCAGCAAGTAAATATGCCAACAGTTCTGTCAGCATAACCTATGAATCCTTACTTTTTGCTTGTAAGGGTTAGAAAGGAAAACTCCAGAAAGCCTCACTATGCTCATTAAAAACAGTGGGCCCTTCTGCAATTTCAGTTTTTCTTACATTTTCTAGGTGCAGAGTAACTTTGTCCCTCTAAAACAAATTAAAATGGAAAGAACACACCAGCCGTTGTCACCTGAAGATCATGGCTACTGAGTTTCACCTTATGCCACCTGAACAATTTACACACAACAAAAAGACTGAACTACAGAATTTATGTTTGTACCAGCCATTAACTTCAGTATTTTTTGCATTACAGGATGATTCGACAGCACCTCAAATCTTGGGAAATTGTGTTTTCAAGGAGTTAAGGGGGAAACATCTCTCCCATGGCAAACTGTCTAAGCAGACTGACTCAGTAAGAGTGATTGCTACTCCCAAACTCAGGTACTTAACTGCTAAGCGACCATGAACTACCCACTTAACCTCTCAAAAGATCTCTGCAAGGCTATTTCTGAAACACTGAGGCCTATGTTTTGGAAGAATCTGACTTTATGGAAACTTACACCAGGCTTAAGAGTGACAGATGGGAATGTTGGCTAAAGTGCTCTCTGAATACCTTGCTTCTACTTGGACTATGCCACCTAGTACCTTGTATTGGCATCATCAGCACAAACTATCAGCTGCTCTGAAAGACAGACACCTTAAATCATTTTCATTTTCTCCTTAAGTTAAAACAAGCCACCACACCAAAAATACAAAGCAGCATTTTTCATTGTTTCTTCTGACAAACGAGTGATGAGAGCACAAAACCAGAGAACAGTGGAAGCCAATATAGTTTGACATTTAGAACACCCTGTCCATGGAAAACTTGCTTCCAGAATTATGCTTCCGTTATTCACTTGAGCTTGTAAGTTACTTGCCTCCTTTTCACTGGCAAAAGAAAACCTACCTAAGTTCAAGTTTATGGTATCATACCATACCAAAATTTCACAACATCTTTCTAAACCTATTAGCTTTAGGTAGTTTAGCCTTGGGATATCATCATCTCACCTTATCAGTGCAATTTTGTTTCTTAAGACAAATGCCAAATACTGTTAACAACCATTTTCTATGGTCTTGAAGACTAGACACTGAAATGTTAACTGCCTATCTTGCAAAAAGGTTTCAAGCTTTCAAAAAACCCCAGCTTTTGTGCCCCAGATTCTATTCCAAATAGCTTTATTTCAGACACCTGCATTAACAAAGCTTTCGTGTTTGCCAGATACAGTTTTGACTTGCATCACTTTAGATGTTATTGTTACTGACAAATGGATTTGTCATTCCTTCTGCAGCCAGCCAGCTATTCTCATTCTGATTTGCGTTTTTCTAAGGTGATCAGGTACTGTTTAAGCGATCACACATCTATTTCCTCAGGAAATGACACAAGGTTTTAAACTTACTTAAAAGCATTGGAAGACCAGCCGTAACATTAAAAATAAATTTTAATGTTAAGTCATTTTTAGATCATTTGCTCTGACACCCAGATGTTCTGAAACTTAAAGTAGCACTATAGGGACACACAAATGCAGATAAATCTTTATTGCCATAACCTTGTTTTTTCAAAAATGAGCATTGGGTTTTTAATAGGTCGTAGTTTTATGTCTTTATATGTACAACATTACAACTGCATATTTTAATAATAATGAAGTCAGTGATACTTTTGATAACTCAACACAGTGTATTTATAAAATGAATTCTTATCAAAATACACTTTTCACTGGGATAATAAATAAAATCCTGCGAAACCCACCTACACAAAGTTAATTTTAACTCTGGTAGAACCCGATGTGGTACACAGTCCATTAACTACTATGTTTGCCCCTTTATGCCCCTAGTGATGCTCATCTTCTGGGGTAAGAAAACATTTTTTCCCCCTGTTGTGGTGTGACCTCATTCAACATCATCTTCAGCCAAGCACTGTGCATTTACAATTCTCTGTAAGAAGGAGAAAAACTCATTCACAATTACATAAAATTGACAGTAGGCAACTGATTATCAAGCAATGTAATTTTACACTGAACATTAAGCAGTGTAATTACTGAGCAAACCAATTAATGTTAAAAATGGTAATCTACGTGACATAAGTGTTTGAAGTCAGTTCTGCAGAAATAACGTACTGTGCAATACCTAACAAAGTTGAAGTCAAATAATATCCTATCAGCCTCCAGTGATGACCTCTGTGTGTGGTTTTTGTCACTGTCCTCTAAGGAAGTATTTTTCATCATTGTTTCCCTGGACCTTTACATCTAATATACCTGACACTTTTCAGTGTTTTTACTAACTACCTGGACCTTGAACCAAAATGTAACCAGCCCTGAGCTGTAAAGAGAGCTGACTGATGCACAGCACTGAGTTTCTGCTTTATGTGAGGTAACACCGTTAGGGAGTACCCTTGTGTTCCCAGGAACATAAAACATACTATTTATTTTACAACAGATTCGCCTGCTGGCGTATCACCAACATTAACATTTCCTGCACAGTACTCAAGCTAAAAACAGAGGGAATTTCATACACAGGGAAACCCGCAAGCTTCCAAACCTGTCATGTTCTGGTGCTAGCTAACATTTTGGCCCAGAAGCAACATGCTAGCAAAAGCAACAGACTAATTCTAATGCACTATTATAGCACTTACAGGCACTTGTAGGTATGTAATTTTAAAAAATAAAGCTCAAGACCCAGTGCAAGGAAGTTAGTGCTTTTCTGAGCCCCCAACCTGGATGTGAGAAACAGTGGATCCACTTATAGTACCACAGCTGCAGTCAGGTGTCTCTATTTGAAGAGAGCTTAGCATACCCTACGCATGAGAGAAGCTTTGCATTTCTGTTTTACCCTGATTGCTATTAATGCTACATGGTGTTTTTCATATACACTTTTTAATATTTCAGGTGAAAAAAAGCTTCTTTTAATCTAACTGAACATATACAAAAAACAGTACTCAAGACTGACATAGTGTATGAGAGAAATAGGTCAATTATTTTCAAACCAAACCAACAGGGAACATTTCACATACCTGGCTTATTGTAGGGAGCTTAGTTAGAAGCATTTGAAACACTGGAGGTGGTAGAGTCTGCTGTAGAACTTGTAGTAGCTGCTGCGGCTGTCCACACACAGCAATGGCATTGGTCAAGTGATCAACACCTTTCTCATATTCACCTGTAGAACAAATCATAATGTTTTGAAATAAACCTTCCACCCTGTATTTACATAAAACATCCATCAACAGTAGATTAAATTACTGAGACTCAATCTACAGTTTTCTTTCTTCCTCCCTTACTGGATCTTCTGAATGCAGAAGGTTAGAAAAAAGTGAACATTTTCCTAGGTGAATTTCACTTCCCAGAAGATATTAGTATATAAAAATCATCTTCCAGCAAAGGTAAAGAAAAATTACTTTACAACTTACCCTTCAAAAAAAGATATGCTATTACCTTGAGCTAGTAGTTCCTCCCCAAGCTGAATCTCCTCGAGGAAAAACTTCTGAACTGCTTCAGCATCTTTCAAATCAGGCAACTGTAACACACAGAGTAAAGCTGAAGTTGTTTTTTCAACTGATGTTTAAGGGACAAACTAACAAACTTTCATTCTCAACTGAAATCAAACACACAACCACACTGTACACTGAAACTAGGAAAAAGCCCATAAATTAGAAGTGTCACCACTAACTTCAATGTACAGAGAATGTCTCTGAAAATCAGACTTAGGTCTCATGTCATCGCATCACAGATGTGTAAAGAGACAGAGCCTGAAATACTCCTACTCAGTTTATTAAGTTCAGAATTTCGTAGCAAATATAAACTCTAAGATGTGTTACACCTATCACAACTATATTTCTTACAACTGGTTAAGACAAGTCTATTTTTTATTCCAGGATCCATCAGCAACAAGGAAGAGAAATCTATTATAGCAAAAAGCTATCAAGTTCAGTATTAGGTATATGACATCTATGATCTTTAAGTTTGCAAAGTCCTTGTAAATACTAAAGAGGAAAACACCATTAAATCACACAGGAAATGTTGCACTGTCTGTCCTCAATCTGACAGAAAAAAGAAAACACCATTTATGAGCACTAAGGAAACCAAAGACCGTGCACTTGCAGAAGCGTTTCTAATGCTGGAATCAAAACAGACCTTTAAACAATTCTTACAAATACTACATATTAAACATGTTTCAAAAAGCACTGCATTACTGAACACAGTATTACCTTGGAAAGTCCTGCTTTCTCTTTGGCAAGCTTCTGTTTCTTCCTTCCTGTAAGAATAAAAACATCTTACATTTTTAATTTGCAATTAAAAAAAGCCTTCAGGTTACAGTTTGAAACTGTGAACAAATCAAAGTTATTTTCAGAATAAGAAACTGATAATATATTCCAAATATTGAAGACTGAACACAAGACTGCAACCCACTCTCTGGAGCAGAATATCATTTAGAGGTCTAATAAGGGCTGGCAGTAGAAAACCAACTCAAAATGGCAATTTTCCCCCTGCTGGCTATGGTAAACACCAACTGTGCAGGGCCTCATGCACTAGAGGCATAAAGAAGGGAAGAGTTTGAGTAACACAGGATTTCTCCACATGGTTTCTAACCATGATAAAACACAGAAACACTGCCTACAAATTAAGGCTACCTAATTTTGACAGCAGGTCACAGTACGTAAATGTACCTTCCCAGCTGCTTTATAGCAAAGCCTTGGGAACTAAATAAGTAGCAGTATGTCATCATCCCACAGCAAGAGCAATGCTAAAGTCTACATTTCTGAGATCTGAGGAAAGCAAACATTTAGATTTAATTGCTCAACCTGAAGGCATAACATTGGTCTGCAACATAAAACTATACCACTCCAGCAAAACGAGTGCAATTAAAATTATATATAGCTTGCTTTTAATGCACTTGGGTAGGTAGAAAGATATTTTATAGTAGCAACTATTCTTACAAGAAAGAATAATTACAGTCATACTGATTTACTGAGAATAATGATTTTTGTAACTCATCAGTGCATCACCTGAAACAGTTATGCCAATATAACTTTTAAAATACAGCCTATGGTTAGCAATTTTAAAAGCTAGAAATAGTTCAAAATATGATTTAGCATAATTTGAACTATTTGACTATAATTGAACTATTTAACTAATTGAACTATTTAACCATTAAGTATCTGCTACTGTCCACATGATGCAGACATTCAAGAATACCGTTTCCCAGTAGTGATAATGTAACATGGGAAATCTATGGACAAGATCAAGTGTTCTTTATATAAAGGGATTTCACATTCTAACTACACGGATCACCCTTTTACCTTCTACAATACCTTAGTAACTCTTCACACCTGAATTTCTACAACTTATTGACCTGTGTACATAATTTTATAATTAATATACAGAAAAATGCGTCATACAGAACTGTAGTGTTATGTAATTTTACCATTATGGTTGGTTTCAATATTAAAAAATATATATTTCTTGAAAGTTTGTGCCTTCAATTAGCTCACTCCGAGTTTTCTGAAGCATTAATTTGCCCAAAACTTTAAACTGTGCTACCAGGCAAACCAGCTCTGCTGACACATAAAATCTTAAAGAAAAAAAAGAAGTAGCATGTGAAATGTTTCACAATCAAAACAAACCACACCTCAACTTTACCACATTCAGTGAAAACATCACCGAAAAGTAAAAAGAGCAACATAATGTTTGTACATCCTCTTCAGGAGGAAACTTTTCTTGGTGAGACTATGACATCTTCTAAAATATCACAAGAGATATCACTCACCATGTTAAGTATTCAGAGATATAAAGTAACTGTAAGTAAACTACTTCAGTTAGTAAGTTAATAACTGTAAGTAAAGTAACCAGCAGAGATATGCTTTTGACCACTGATCATATATGACATCATATACTTTAACCTGAAATAGTATAGGAATGTGAAGAATTGCCAAGATTTCAAAACTGAACACCGACCTACAGAATCTTTCAAGTCTGATTACTATTCATTTTTACTTCCTAATCTTAATATGTTTTCAAAGGTCTCTCTAAAAGTCCACTAGTTAATACAATCACAAAAAAAACCAGAACCCTCCCCCCCTCAAAAAAACAAACAAACAAACAAAAAAAACCCCAAACAGCTGTAAAAGTTATTTAGGAATTCTTCCCCTATTGGTTGGTAGCACTACTAATGCAACTTGCGTAAGCAAAAAGCAATAGCTTTAGGGATAAAACTAAATCCATCAAAAAAACCCCAACAAACAAAAAAAAAACCACCCAAACCCCATATATTTTTGGTTTTTGCTTTCCCCCATGGACCTCCAAGAAAAAATTCCTTCTTTTCTAAAGACATTATCACATTCAGGAAAGGGGAAGAGCAATCCTTCATAGAAGGAATCCTAGTTAACATTAAAACGCATGTGCATCCATCCAAACCAGAAAGCTAAACTTCAGCTCTCAAACTGCACAACTTGCAGGTGATTCAGGCACAGCTCTTGTCGATGCGGAGTGAGTTTCCAAACATGATAATCTGTCATGCTGGCGCAGGCTGTGAAAATCCCCAAGTTGCCCCAGCAGCTTCACAGCCAGTCCCGCAAAGGAGAGAAATGACCAGAAAGCTATTTGCATCTTCTGCTCCCATCTGTAAAGTCTGCCCACAGCTCTCCCTGCACTCACCTGTCCAGATGGAAGGTGCTCTGAGGCAAAATTCTGCATGGTCAGAAGTTGTGGCTGTCTTTATACAGCTCTTTTTTGGGTTAGGGTCCCATGGCAGGGGGATTGGAACTAGATGATCTTAAGGTCCTTTCCAACCCTAACTATTCTATGATTCTATTCTATGACTCTATAAGAGTTCTGGTTTATAAATTCCAGAACACGAATAGTAAACACAACTAAAAGCTTATCATTTTAAAATACAGCTGTGGAAGCAGCTCCAGATATTTATAGCTTTGCTATTTTTTTGCTCCTGGGATTAAATATGGACATGCTCCCCAAACTGGCAACACCAAACCCTAAGAAAAGTAAAAAAAAGTTAATGAGATTAAGACATCTGGAAAACTGGAGTCTCCCAGGAATTATTATTTTTTTTTTAATCCTGAAACCTGAAAACCTCATTTTTATGATGAGCCTTTGCAACATGAACTTTGATCCTAACACAACCCAAACAGATGTACAACTTAACTGGGATGGCAAAAAAAAAAAATCCTGGTTCTTCATCTGTCAGCACGCACTTGACCAAATACTCCAGGTAATCCACTGACATGTTGGCTCATGTCCTTCCCAAATTTTGGTGACACTGCATCAGAGACTGAAAAAGAATCTTACCCTAAGAAGATTAGTGGAACAGATCTGCTATAAAGGTGGTTTCTGTGTGTTTTTACTCAAACACCCCTTACTATTGCCCAAGAAATGGTGTATCTTCATCTAAAGAATTGCAACTGGCTGCTCCTCTGGACCATTTTTTGTCAAATACTTTGCAGCCCGAGCCTTGCTATCCAACAATAAAAGCACTGTAATGATCAGGTAGCTGGCATCACCACAGAAGCATCCACACTAAAGAATGAGTTACAGTACTAAAAATAAACCTAAATTCCTTAATATTATCTAAAGCTTGAAAACTAAAAGCAGCCCAGTGAATCACATCCAAGGATCACAAGTCATACAGTGATGTCCTCCTAATGGCAACAGCCTTTACCCACCAAACCACAGTGGATATTTTCCACTTTAAAGAAAATGTTAGTTCATAATAAGAGCAAGTCTAAGGTTTATTCAGAACATTACTGGATAGAGCTCAGGTAATGAAAACCATGGGATGCAAAAATAATGTTCAGTGCTTCTGCAAAAATCTTACATCATCCAATATTTCCTCTACTTTGCATTTAACATCGTAGAAAGAACATTATACTGCCAAAAATTGTGTTTGCTTGTGCAAGACAAGCACGTACCAGTTTAGTATACCTAAAAATTCACAATGAGTTGTGTGAAGGCACACAAGTACGTGTCTAACATGCTATGTAAATGAGCAAGAGCCTTCAGATGAAGTCTTTGAAAGACATAATTTGCTGTGGAAGAGCTGACAGAAAGCCAAGTTAATACTCTGTGAAGCATCAACGCTGGTCACGCAACAAGTTCAAGCCGTTAAGACGGAATCAAAGCCTGTAAGTTATGTTCAAACATCATGAGGTACATAGCAATTTTTAACCCATCTAGTTACTGACTCTTCCATTCACAAAACTACTGATCACATTATGTTTGCTTGATGGGAAAGTTTACTTTAATGGCAACTTCTTATCTTCAGATTAGTTATCAAAAGGAATACTATACATATTTCCACGATAGAAACAATAAAAATAGCACATAAATCACAGAATATTCTGGATTGGAAGGGACCTTGAAAGGTCATGTAATCCAACAATATTTTTCATGATTCATTCAAGTACCTTAGATGAATTAGAGCACCTTGAGTACTCAGGCTTACTCTTCTACTTAATACCTTCACTAATTATTAAAAGAGCTAGATGTTAGAGCTTAAATGTTGAAGATGTGAAATAATGAAGAGGCACGGGAGAAGCGCTCTACATTTTGGATTAATCAACAGTTTTCTCTGGCATTCATTCTTACCCTGGAAGCTAATAACAGAGCTGCCAGGAGGGTTAAGAATGCAACACATAAAATACCTGTGGGCAGCTCCTGGCTCTTGCCTTACCGCAGCACAACTCCACTGTAAGAGATCACATCCTTTCATAAACGTCACTGTATAAATGCAGTGGCCATAATGGTATGGCTGAGAGCGTGGGATGGCAATAATTAAAAAGAAAATAAGGGGGATATGAACTATTTCCAAGCCAAGGCTGTGATGCAGAAACCCCGAGTTACCCAGTAACTACACAAAGGGCAATAAAAACCGCCCCAGCAAGGAGGCCCCGTCCCCTTGCTCGGTCAAAGGGATGCCGAGAGGCACCAGCTCAGCCCCGCCGAGGCTCGGGGCCTACCTGGGCGCAGGCCGCCCGCCAGCCCCCCGCCCGGCCCTGCCGCAGCCTCCCGGCCCGCTCCGGTGGGGGGGCTGAAGGGCCTCTCCCCCGCATGGGTGGGGGGGGGGCTGGGCCGCGGCGGGTCCCGGCAGCCGGGGGGGCGCTACCGAGGCGTCACGTGCTGCACGCCCGAGCCCCGCGCGCGGGCCAGAAGCGGCGGCTGTTGAAGGCAGCGCGCGCGGGAAGCCGCGGGAGAACCCCATGAGGTGAGGGGAAGGGAGGAGCAGGCCCGGACACTCACGCTCCCGCAGCCGGTTCTTGAAATTCGGGTCGCTCCGTCTCTTGCGGTCGAAGTAGATGCAGTAACCGATGAAAAGGGCCCCGCAAAGACCCGCCGCGATGGCGCTGGTCCTGCCCACCATCATGGTGCCCGGCGCCGAGGGGAAGGTCCCGCCGCACCGCGCCCGCCCTCCCACCCTCCCGCCGCGCGGCCGGCGCCGAGCTCCGCAAGCACCTTGGGGAGAACGGGCACCCAGAAAGGACCCTGCCGCGCTTCCGCTGACGTCATCAAGCAGCGGCGCAGAGGGCGCCTCTTGCAGTGCCTGCGGGCAAGCCGCCCGTCGCCACGGAGCGCATGCGCTGGCTGCCCGGTGCGGCCATTCCCAGCTGCCGTACCGGGAGAACCCGAGAACCACTCCAGCCGAATTCACCAACAGCGTTTATGGCAGCTCACGTATACATCACTCTTTGTAACAGTGCCGCACGTTAGTATACGTTTGAGTTTTATCAAAAGCGCGTTTGTTCTTCTTCCCCGTTTTACTTCCCGGGGCAGTCCTCAGTCTCTTTGGCTTGCCGCTCTTCCTGAGCGGCGTGGCCGTCTCCCCGACAAACGAATCGTCAGGGCTCTGCTTGGTCCCTGCGGCTGTGCCAGCGCCGCCCTTCGGAGCACGAGGCTGGCCGGGACTTTTCCGTGGCACTTTCCCCTTGTCTCCGCAGCGCTGCACCCGGACCTTTCTTCCCACCAGATCCGTCCCGTTGAGCCTCAGAGCGAGATGCACAGCATCCGTATCCTACAGGGACAGACGTTCGGTTTGAAAGCTCCTTCCACATAAACAGCTGTCTGCCTCTTAATTTTCGGAAGCAGGTTTTCTACAATAAGGAGCGCCCAAGCTGCTCTGTTTACTGAATGACACAGCAGCTCTGCTCAGAAACACCAGCATACCCAGGTAGCCCACACACTGAGGCATAGATACTTGAAAGTGGGCTGTGGAATAGCTCATGTGAGGTGGTAAAGGAAGAGAAATGAAGGAGAAACTGCAGAAAAAATGTATCAAGCTGAAGGTGAAGAATGAGGTTGACTGACGAATGGGATTGTCAATAAGTAGCTTCAAGGATGTTAGGCTTTGTTAGCAACTACAGAGATAAGGAAATGGCTAAGATAAGCACTGCACAAGAGCTGGCCAGAACCGGCCTGGTGGTTACTGACATGACAACAATCTTAAAACGAAGTGATGAAGAAATAACCACCAGGGGTCCCAAAACCCACCACCACATTTCAGTGTGCATGCGGGAGGAATTCTAGCAGTATGATGTAATATGTAAGTAACTCAATGAACATGTATGTAATCTAATGAATATGCATGTTTAAGGAAATATAATCACAGCCTGGTTGATGCTCGGAAGAGACACACTATCCCCCGTGTCTCCTGGTGCTGCAATAAAGAATACCTTCTTGTCAATTTAAACTTTGTTGGCTAGTTCCTGCAGATTTCTCCGAATCAAAGGAAATAAACTAAGGAAGGCGAGGCTGGGAGACTGCCATGAGAAAGCAAGCTGTGCTGGACCCAAAATAGAGAGCCAGGGAGCAAAAAGGCTTCAGGAAAGAATTCCACTCATACTTTGACATATGAGAAATGGGAGAACACTGCAGTTATAACAAGAGAACTTATCTGTCCCTCCTTTAAGTCCTTCCCTTAAAGTTCACTTCCTTCACCCCAAAGTTTTACAACTTTTCTTTGTACACAACCTAAATCAGTTTGTTTTGTCTCTGCTTCCACAGAACTGGTCTTCCAAGCTGCTTTTAACAACCACGCTATCACCACCACCATTTAATGTCACATACAAATAAAAAGTAAATGCCATAAAGGCAACCCCTGAATTCGGATGGTGAAGAACATCCAGTTCAAACATACCTCGAACAGGACGTAGCCAAAGCCCTTCCCCAGGCCGGTGTTTCTGTCCCTCACGATCCGCACCGCCACAACACCTCCACACACAGAGAAGTGCTCTCGCACAGCATCGTCGCTGATGTCTGCAGGCAAGCACAATGAAACAGATGTCTCTTCCATCAGGCACGCAGCCTTAGGAGCCTGGGCCAAACCCAAGTGTTTCGTGTTTACCAGTTCAGGTACACAAGCATTACGTATTTATATGTAGAGGTACACAAATATCAGTAGCTCGGAAACATTCCAGCAAGTTAAGAGGGCAGACTTTACAAAGTGTTATTTACTTTAAAAGTTACAGATTTTTTAGCTTTGAAGAGTAGAACATAAACCTCAAAGAAAAACACAGGCAAAGACCAACACAGTATTTTCAAATAATTTCATTTATGATTTGACTGTCCTGGACATTTAGATTGGTGCAGCTCTTTCTGATGCCAGAAATCTCTTTCTAGCAGATAATGAGCTCGCGCCAGCAGTTCCTGAAGTCTAATGCTCACTGACAGAGCTGTGAATTTTAGTTGAACGGGAGAGAAGGAAGAAGATCTACAGTTTCCAACCACATCTGCTATATGATTATTCTGATAAGGGCCAGATGCATGAGGCTTTTTCAGTCTTGTGCCTACATGAACAGACAAGCATGACATACCAACACAAAAACACAGGTTGTTCTCTTTTCTGTGTAGGCATGCTTCATACTGTGGTAGATCTCTTTACACAAATGTAATCTTGTCTCTGCTACAGGGAGGGGCTGAATTTAGGAGTACAGGTTTAATCTCAGCCATGGGAGTGCTGAGAAAGGTTCAGGCTGCTGACTTCCCTATCACTGCAAATGTCCCAGCTGTTTTCTGTGCAGGATGTCCAGAGGAATATGCAGACCTGACACAAACTCTACACATCAGGCATTAGTAACATCACCACAGTCAGATTTTTTACCTATCTCATTTTCAGACAAGTCTAGTTTAAAGCTGAAGTCTAAAGCCTGTTTGTTTCAGCATTACTGTCAGCAGTACATGACACTGGTTCTGAATCAGCATGGGCATGGGGCATGCCTTCACACCTTCACCCTTCACACATCCACACCACCCTCAAGTAATATGCTCATTCCAAGCACCCTGACTTCATGAATACACTCCTGTAGATCACACCTGATGGCAATACAATATACTCTCCAGTCTGCTCAGCAGCAGCTGAACATTGGTCAAGCACAGACCTCAACTATACACTAAGCCCCTTCACACAGCTAACAACCGATTGCCTATAGCTGCCTGGGCAGAGTCATTCACCCTGTGGCTCACAGACAGCATCAGAACAAGAAGCCACCTCTGTGTATCACTTGAAAGTAGTCCACAAACAGGTACCAGTACACATTTAACATTTAGGAAGTTATGGCCTATGCAGTTTAGTCATAATTACCTTAAAAACATCAAGCACCAACAAGAACTAAAGGTGCCTGCAGTTCTAGCTACAATCAAGAAAACAATGTGCAGAATTTGCCAGTAACTTACAGAACCTTGAGGGGTTTCAGTTAAAAAGTGTAACTGCTATTTAAAAAATGAATTCCAGCAAAAGGTATTTAGCTACCTAAACATGCTACCCAAAATATCAACAAATAACCCTCCCACAATGTCAACATCTTCTATGCATGTTAAGTAACGATGCATAACAATCCATTTCAGACTTACCATATGAGAGATTTCCCACAAACACAGATCGCTTATTGTCATGCTAAAAAGAAAAACAAGATACAAGACAGTGAGCTATTTGTTACAGCAACAAAAACAACCAGAAAAGAGTTTCTAGTCATACATCTTCCTTACCGAACTGCTTTTTGATGCAATGTCAACTCTGATGTGAAATCCACTAACAATTTCTGTTCCATTTCTGTCACAGCCAAAAGCAAAAAAAGGTTTTTAAAATTAATTGTCACTTCACGTGCAGTATCACTGCACAGCATTATTCTAAAAGCAAATTTACATTTAAACTTGAAAAAACATTTTATTCGGGTTAAAGCAGAACCTCTTCAAGAGGGAATGAGCAGCAAAACTGAAACTTACTCCTTCAGAGCCTTAATGGCATCACATTCTTCTTTAAATACAATGTAAGCATTAACAAACTTCGCATTAGGATGCACCTTACGCCTGGAACATGAAAAAGACACATTGTTTAAATAATTCTGATGGTGTGCAGTGCATAAGCACTCCTTGTTAAACATATTTATGCCCCCTCTTGTGTGCACAGAAACAACTCCCTTTCTCTTAAATGTATGATGGAGTCCCACTGTGCAGGACATTACAGCCTGTACAAGCATCCTGTCCAAGCTTCCTCAGTTCAGAATTACATCCAAAGGAATTAAAGACTTGGCATCTTCCTCCTTCCTAAAATATAAGGAATGCAACCTAAGATAATGAATTACTGGTGTACCAGACACATAATTCTTTTTCACTTGATAAGAAAACTTACATACACACAAAGACAATTATAAAAGTCAAAGAAACACAAAATGAAAAAGTAAGCATAACCAAACATTTAACAACCAACACTTAAAAATTATTTTTGCCTTGAAAAACAAAGCAGGAAATTCACAAGAGGAACTTACTTTATTGCTGCCAACTTTTTGGATAAAGTATCTTCTGCTGGAACCTTTAAGATAAAAAGAGCTTCAGTTAAGCGGGCCTAGTGTAAATTTATCTCAAATAAGACAACAAGGAATTCAAACAGGTACCATTCCCCCCAAAGCAATGCAGCCAGTACTGTGAGCAGGTGATGGAAGCAGCTCATCCTAGAGATGATCTAGAAAGATCTCAGAATTAGATAGCTTACTTTGACTTCATCAGAGTTCCAAGACTGTTATCTTCAACTATGTTACAGAGTACACTGATTTGCAATCACTGTGTCTCTCCTACTATGGTTTAAAAAGTAATACCTTTGCTAAATGAGCAGTAATAAAGACATTCTTCCTCCAGACAGAATACCGCTCTGATGCATTTTACTATCAACTGTTAAATGTGAGGAAAGCAAAGATGCATCTACGGTGCTTTTGTGGTATAATCCCCAAGGATTCTTCTAATGGCAAAAAATACATCCCCAAACCCACTTCTGAACTACTGAAGACAGCCTTAGGAATGTGACCCTTTAATATAGATAAAAAAATTCTTATTATATAATATTCTTATGTTATACAACATAAGAGAAAACAACGTACCAAAGAGCGGAATCGGATGGATTTTATTTGTCCATACTCTTTAAAACGAGACTTCAGCACCTAA